GGGCTTTGCTTCTGTGAAGATTGACAGCCTTGGAGACCCTATGGGGCAGTTCCACTCTGTCTTCTAGGGGCGCTGTGGGTCAGAATGGACTCCAAGCAGTGGGTGTGGTTGGGGCTTTGCTCCTGTGAAGACTGACAGCCTTGGAGACCCAGTGGGCAGTTCCACTCTGTCCTCTAGGGGCGCTTGTGGGTCAGAATCGACTCCAGGCAGTGGGTGTGGCTTGTATTTTGGTTTACCCATAAGACACATATATTTCAGTTAGAAGCAGATGACAATAACTGGAGACAGGTGAAGTTTTTTTACTGCATGTTTACTTTTGCAACAGAACCAAACAACAGTCAACTGAATGAGCATGCCGTGTCTACCAAGTTTTAAACATATTTTACAAACAATAATACCATGTAACAGTAATTATGGAAAGGTTAATTAGAGTCTAGATCCTTTGCACAATTCAAATAGAAACATTTAAGAAACTAGATTTGTTAGCCCCACAAGTGAGGACGCTGTGGCGGGAGCCTGGCCCCCCAGCTCACCCAGGGGAGACGCTGGTCACTCGCTTGACTCTGAGCACTGCTCACAGCGCAGAAAGTCTCCCACATTTGGGAATTCTCTGGAGATTTTAAGTTGTGTCATAACGAACCATTTGGAGACTTTGCTTCTAAATAATTGGGTGAAATAAAAGCCATGAGGCTTTCACACAGGCCCCTGAGGAGGAATGTTTTCAGGGAGGAGGAAGTCAATGGGGACCAAAGCAACTTCCGCTCTCTCTCAGCCTGGCTTCCGCCTCCTCTGCTCAGCGTCATTGCGGGCCGTCTGTCACACACCCCCTCAAAATGGCCCCTGCGACGACCAGGTCCTTGAGCGCGCACCCGAGCAGACTCGCGGAGGCAGAGGGGACGCTGACCGTAACGCCCGCTGGCTGACGCAGACCAGCCCCCTGGCCCTCACTCACCCTTCCCTGTCTGTCGGTCTCACTCACACAAAGACAGCGCCTGCCTCTCCTGTCCCTACTCAATCTTCAGCCCCTTGGACTTGAACTCAGTGCGGAGGATCTGCGACAGGCACCTTCCAAACTCCTCCAGAACCCTCTGCTCGGCCAGCCCCTCCGAGCAGTGCTCCTTCTCGGCCTCCTCCCCCTGGGCCAGCAGGCAGGCGCAGGTGGCCTCCACCACCTCCCAGGAGATGCACGTGAAGGGCCTGCAGAGACGGGAAAGGTCAGCGCCAGGGCTCGCTTCTTCCGCCCCCTTGGCGCCTGACGCAGCGTTCTTGTCTGTGGCGTCCCTGACGGGCCACCGGGTGACGTCGACTGTCTTCCTAAGAGTGAGACTACTGCCGTGACCGCATAGAGGCCACTGCGCATGACAAGAGTAGGGGGCAGGAGGATGCGCAGTGCTCGACACCCCGCCCCCGAAGCAGCCCTGGACCAGTGTCCTGCTGAGGCCCGAGCAGGGCCAGTGCAGCGGGACCGCGGACAGGGGCGGCCCGGGCCGGGCCGCGCCACACTGACCTGCCCCTGGGCACAGGGTCCGCACCAAGGAAACCAGCTGCCGACAGACAGCTGGGCCCGCTTGGGACTGAGCGGGGATGATAGCATCGGGATGGGCCGGCCCTGGAGCGCCCCCTGGAGGCTCGGCAGAGGCTCTGCGGGGTGGACCCCACGTGTCAGGGCTGCTCACCCCGCCGAGCTCCAGGAGGGCAATTTCACAGAGCTCCGTGGACGCAGCTGTGCACGTAGTGCCCCCGCCCCAAACCAGAAAATCCCAGGACGTTTCTACCAAGTGTTGAAGAGTGTTGGGTTATGAAAATGAGCGGTGAGTCCGGTGACAGTCTGTGTGAAGACAACCCGGGGACCGTGAAGTGCCTGTGCTGTCCCTGGTGCCTAAGCACTTGACTACTACCCACAGGCTGGACTTTGTCGCCCACCCACAGGCACCTGAGGAAAGGGCTGACCGTCGGTTCCGCGTGCTCACCGCGCGCGAGCCCTGCAGCGCCGCCCTGCTCTGCCGGAGCTGGGGTCTGAGCAGGCTGCGAAACCCTTCGTGTCGGAGACGGGCGGACAGAGCGGGGCGCCGACTCCGAAGCGAGGGACCATTGCAGGGGTCGCACCCATTCCCCACAGCCGAAGGAAGCATGGCTGTGAGGTACGGGACCGTGCCAACAGTCACCGAGTCACACACGCCCATTTCTGGGAAGACACCGTCCCCCACGGCCCAACAAAGCCCTTGGCCAGCCTTGGAGGTTGTGGTGAGAGGTTTTCTGAGGTCTCTCTCACCGAACAAGCATGAGTTTGGTTTTGCAAAGTGACATTAACTAACGAGAGCGGGTACTTTACCATCACCTGACCCATTACACTGAACTCAAGGAAATTTTAAAGGAATGGTCCTGTGTAATTCACAGTAAACTTAGTGCCCCAAGTTCGAGACCTGAAGGGTTACAGAGTGGCCTCACCACAGCCAATTACTCAGGGCCCACGAGCACGGCAGTGAGGGACACAGTGCGTGTCAGGAACCTCCGACAGAAAGTGTGCTGAGCTGTGTGGGGGCTCCACACTATGGCCCCCGGGCTGCCCACGGCCACGGCCGAGCACTGCGTCCCTGGCGGTGGCCCCTGGCCTGCCCTGTGCTCTTACAGGGAGCACGGGAAACTGGGGCAGTGAGGACGAAAAGCCAGGCTCAGGGGACAAACCGGACCAAACAGGCTTCTGCAGGAGCCTCGGAGGAGGGGAGGCGCGTGAGGAGCCCTGCCGCCCCCCCACCCCACCCCCCAGCCTTCAGCCGGAGGAGCTGGGAGCACTCACCCGCTGGCTCCGGAGGCCTTGCTGGGCGCTAAGGGAAGGCCGCCCTCCAGGCCCACGGTCCCCGCGGCGCTCGCCAGGCTCGGCAGCGTTTTCCTCTCTGGGCTCTCTTCGTAGTTTTTGCAGCCAATGCATTTGCAGATAGAGGAGCACATGATTTTGGCCTGGGAGCAGAAAGGTTTCCATGACATTCAGTCATCCTGTGCCCCACCCTTCAAACCTACCAGCCACTCCTCGGAAGGAAGGTGGGCCAATCTACTTCCATAGTGATACCACCTCGGAAACCCAAGGAGGGGTCGCTGTGAGTGCACGGCACATAGTAACAACAACACCACCACCCCATCCTAGGGATCAATTGAGGGTGATAGGTTTTTTTTTTTTTTTTGCATGATTTCCCTTATGTAGAATTCTTTTTAAAAATACATTTTATGGAAATGTAATTTATGTAGAGTGAAATACACATAATTAAAGTGACAGGGATCAATGCTTTTTTTTTATTTTTGTGTTGTTCCCTCCCTTCCCCTCCCACCCTCGTAACCAGCAAAGAAAATTTCCTTCCATATATAAACCTTTCCTTAAATTTTTATAAAAATGGGCTAATACTCTGTCCTTCTGTGATTGACTTATTTCACTTAGCATAATGTCCTCCAAGTTCATCCACATTATGCAGCATTTTGCAGATTCTATATTATTCTTTAGTGTTGCACAGTGTTCCATTGTGTGTATGGACCACAGTTTGGTTATCCATTCCTCAGCTGATGGGCACCTAGGTTGTTTCCATCTTTTGGCTATTGTAAATAGTGCTGTGATGAACATGGGGTGTCCATACGTCTGTTCTTGTCCTGGCTCTCACTTTATTTATTTATTTATTTATTAAAATTTTGATTTGGGTGAAAGTTTACAGAGCAAATTCATTTTCCATGCAGCAGCTTACATACACTTTGTGTCATGACATGGACTACAATCTCCCACAATGCAACAGCTCCCCTCCCACTTCCTCCCGATAGTTACCTCCTTCCCTGTGTCCATCCCTCCATGCACTCCTGCTCCGAGCTGTCTCCCTGTGCATAAGCAGCCCTTCTTTCTCCCATGATTGTTCTCTCCAAGGAGTGTATCTATGTCAGGTAAATGTTCAGCTCATATTCTTGTCTTTTGTTTGGCTGAAAGCCACAGGAGTGGGTTCAATTCCAGACCTGAAGGTCAGCAAGGGGCCATAGTCTCAGTGGTTCCACCAGGCTGTATTGGACCAGCAAACCTGGTCCTTTTTTTTTTTTTCTCCAATGATTTTGAGTTTTGTTTCACATTGTTCTCCCTCTCTATCCAGGATCTCCCCTTCCGAGTGGCTGAAAGTGGTAGCCGGGCACCACTAGTTCTTCTGGTCTCATAGTTGTATAGGCTGCAGATCGGATGGTGTACCAGTCACGAGGACTAATTGTTTCCATGAATCTTTGGTTTTCTTCATTCTTCTTTGCTCTGGACGAGGAGAGACCCATCGTTGCATCTAGATGGCTGCTTGCAAGCCTTTAAGATCCCAGTCACTACTCAGAGGGCAATAAGTTTTAATGGGGACATGCCACTAGGACTGACAGAGTCTATTTGGGCCTTAAAGACTCCTCGGTTTGTATTTGTGTGTGTGTGTGTGTGTGTGTGTGTCATCTGCCAATTTTCATCCAAAAGGAGGAGGAGGAGGAGGAGAAGCGAGCAGGAGCTCAGAGGAGCCAGTGGCCTGGAGCAGGACGTCGTCACCGTGTTGTTGCAGGGACATCGCCATGCTGCTGTGGCGGGAGCCGGGACACGTGAGCGTGTGTGCCTGTGGGGGCACGTGTGGCTGTCAGCACACGTGTGCGCAGAGGGCAGGAGGGTCCCTGCTCCACCTGGCAGGCCCAGGCCCAACTCTGTGCTCACGCCAGCCTGAAGCTTGTCCCTTGTTCCATTAGAGCAGTTAGAGCCTGGGACCCTCGGCCACCAGAGCTGGCAAATTTCAGCCCAGGGTGGGGTGGGGTCCCTCTAGCTCCTCCCAGTGCAGAGAGGCATGTAGAAGGCATGTAGAAGGCATGTGCCGGGTTTGCTGTGTACCCTGGTCGTTCGGAGCAGGTTTGTCAGGACGTCCCGTCTCCTCAAACCAGACACCAAAAGACTGCGATGTCCCCCTTCCTTGTCCCCCCACACGGGAGGGCCCTGGAGGGCCCAGGCTGGGGGACAGCACCGCGGCCGTTCAGCGTCCGTCTCTGTAGCCTGCCCTTCCCCGGCCGCAGGAAGGGGAGCTGCTGATGGAACACCCGGCTGCTTCACCGACAGCCGTCGAGGCCTCCCTCCCTCCCTCTCCCTCCGTTGTCCTCATCACGGAGAACAGAGAGGGAGAAGAAGGGGCGAGAAAAGGGGAGACCTAAGGGAGAAAGCCGGACCCCCTGTGTCCTGAGTCTCTGAGGAGAAGAAACACCTCTGTCTGAGAAGTGGCCTGGGCCTCCGGTCGCTGGTCTCGCTAGCGGTTTAGCCCCACTGCCCGCTCTCCTCTAGGGTCTGTCAACAGCCAGACGCCCAGGAGACGAGGTGCCGCGGGGTCTGGGACTGCCAGAGCCTCAGAGACCTGCTGGGCCCACTGCCCACCAAGAGCGCCTGCTCTGCTCAGGGGGTGCAGCCATGCCCCCTGCAGAGCCCAACGCAGCTCAGAGACGCAACGGCGCAGGGAGCAGACGCTCTCGGCTGGGCACTCAGTGTGGCTCTGGAACTTGCTGCCAGCAGCGCGTCCTCGGTGGCCTTACGCGGGTTTGTAAAGCTCACTCATACCGGGAAGATTGGCACGGGCTACTGTGCACGACACGGTGCTGACAGCGGATTCAAGAGCGGGGCCACTGTGAGGCTGGCACGGGACCGGGCAGTGTTCCCTCTGGTGTGGGAGACGCGGGGTGGCTGTGAGCTGGAGACAATTCAACAGCATCTGAGGCCGGGGGACATTGTCATACACTCACACACACACACACGTTCACACACCTTCACACACACAACACACACATTTGTACACTCACACATTCATACACTCACACACAACAACACATACACACACAACAATTTGGGTGTCCTCTGAGAAACTCCAGAAGGAAGAACACAATTCATTTCTCTTGGGAATTACAGTCAGTTTTGGTTTTCAACCACAAAAGTTGCCTCGGCCAGGAGCCGTCGCTGCTGGGACCGCTCTGAACGGCCCGGGAAGCAGGCTACTCACCCCGTAGCACTCACAGTAGTTCTTCAGGCAGCCCGACCTCTTGCAGTTACAGCCTTTGGTATGTCGAGGCTTGACGTCACCCGGTCTCCCAATTTTGGGTTGGAAGGCATCTGGATTTCTATCAAGACATGCCTAGGATGGAGGTGAGACCCCAAAAGAGTGTACTTCACTATCCAGAAGTCACGCTCTGTGAAAGGTGTCTTATTGACCAGTCATAATCCAATGTGGTTCTGAATTCTAAACCAAACCCCCCTCTGAGGAGTCGATTCTGACCCACAGCGCCCCTAGAGGACAGAGTGGAACTGCCCACAGAGTCTCCAAGGCTGTCAATCTTCACAGAAGCAAAGCCCAAACCACACCCACGGCCTGGAGTCCATTCTGACCCACAGCGCCCCTAGAGGACAGAGTGGAAC